ACGCTAACTGAAGCGTTTGGGGTGAGCTACTCCAATCCATAGAAAACCTTCAGAAGACAGGACATGGTTTTTAGGAGGGTATGTGAAGATACAGACTGCAGTGCATACCCTGCTACTTGCTCCCATACTGGCCAAGAGGTCGGAGGAGAGTTTCTGTGGGGAAGCGTCCCATTCCTCCAACACCGCAACCGACAATAGCTGGACAGTTTTGGCCTATGGAAGTTGCTGTGTAGCTCTTTTAGATGCATTGCACACGTACTCGATAGCATATGAGGGAAGAGGCAAGCAGGTTTAACCGATCGTCGAATATCCTCTCGTTCCGAGATTCTCCACCCTGGCTTTTCGATGCGTTTGCACGACGCCCTCTGTGTGAACGAAACTGGCGTCAAACGCACTCTTAAGATGCGCCCATTTGGTAGAAGTTCACCATCACAACAATGTTGACCTTGAAGTGTACCGCGGTCACAAGTATGGAGATTAGGACCTTGTCAAATTTGTACCTTCCCGCACCATATCGCCTAGAATATCAAAACAATCTTGATGGACAATAGTCCTCGACGTCTTACGTGTTCTTCTCGCTATATGCGAAAAAATCCTGAATTACTGCTCACACTCAATTTGCTCTCATTTGAGAATTTAACTTCTATTTATTAATCCACTCCCAATGTCGCGGCACTGAGCAAATGTTCCCGCCGATGTGCCAATTTCAACGAAAGACCAGGCGCTGTAGTCGGCCAGAACATCCGCCCCCCTGCCCATCCGACGCCCCGTGCCACTATTTAGGCTGGTATTACGAAATTGCGTACCTTACAAACAATCTGACTGGGAAGTGTTTTTGCAACTAAACTTCGGCCGGCGACTGACATGGGTCCATTTTTACCAGCTACAATACCTAATGATCACCTGCTGTTACGATTGAGCGTGCTTCATCACCTCGTCTTCTTTGAGCAGCAGTGGGTGTGTTCAGATTGCTCCCCATGCACGTAAGGCATTGCTATGGGCAATACCAAGCTCCTGGACTTCACTCGTATTACATCCCTTCTTCCAGTTTCCCAATGGTTCTTGCTCCTGTTTAAGGCAAGACCCGCATCAAATGGGTTTGTAAGAGCATAGTAATGAAGCTAGAGGTGGGGAGTAGGCTGAAAAAAAACAAAAGAAACCTTTGATCACGCTCCGAACAAGGCCCCAGCTCTTTCAGCCGTATTCTACCTTGGGATGGAGAAGGGACGTGTGCGGACGAGTTTCAGGAACGGCTAGCTCCAGTTGCTCCATTTCCAATGACGGCCGCAATGCTACGGAAGGCAGGGCTTGTGGAGCAAGGTGTGATTGCGGGTCGAGCAAACCTTCTGGCGCCTTTGTCGCCCACTTCGAAGCCGCAAAGGGGCCACGGCATCAACACTTGCTTGCCTGTCTGCCACGATGAATGGAAGGGAACAGGCGTGATCCCGGACCGTGCTTTTGAGTCACCTTACGTTAGTGCAATCTTTGAGACTTGCTCTAATGAGGAACACCACAAGAGCCTGCCATAATCTCCCTCTTCCTGTTCCATCAACTCCTACTGCTACGTAGCCAGTCCCATTTGATCCAGACTAAAGTGCACCGTACGATGTATTAAGCCCAATACACCGTGACTGAAAGACCTTTGGCATTCTATTGCCTCAGTTTCATCCAATTTATCAAATTGTTGAAGATATGTTATTGTCTTTACCTACATCTATGTTACCGTTTTTTACCCATCTCCTCATCTCGCAAAGTCCAGGAGACAACTTTGTTTTTGATCGCATCTTAGCCTTAGGATCAAAAAGGTCGCATACACTTTTGTCGCAAACAATTTTTTAACACATTGACTACAGCTCGTTGTCCCTATAGTTCCATTTTAGAAGGCGGAAAAGGCGTTGCCCGTACACATCGGCAACCTTTCTTTAACTTCGGCCAACCCATCGTTGCCCCTCCAATAACTCCTACTGTCTTCATTGTGTTAAAGGTGGTCAGTGCGACAAATGGAAGGCGGAGCTGATCTGGGAAAAGTCATTGGTGGGAGATTGTTGCAGTCGGGTCGAACCCCCCTCCCCCGCCTCTCACAGCACGCTAGGGGGAGTGATCGAATCGAAGCCCGCTCTTCATTGTGTTCATTGCTGGTTCAAAATTAACACTCTTCAATATCCACTTCCGAACTTTAACCCATTCGTGACAATGGCAGCCACCGGTGGCTGACAAAGATCTCACTTGTACAACAATGGTATCCACCGGTGGCTGCCGTGTTTCAAATGGAATTTGGAAAGTTTTCTTTCCTGAAAAGAATCTTCATACCCTCATTCATCTATGCCAGCCCTTGGGCACGGGGAATCTCCATCCACTCAAATTTTATTGAAGAAAAATCTCCTGACTCTCCTGCTAATGCGCAAACCGGCGCGGTCGCGAATGGGTTAATAGTACCTTGAACTCACCGGCGATCATCAGGAACGGTTTTGCTATTGGAAGTATAGATTGATTTATATATTAAGGAAAAGTATTGGAAATACAATATAGAATTGCATCTCGACCGATATAGACCATTGTATGGGTGAAGAAATCTTGTGCCGATGTAAGCTAAACCTCAACATGTGTTAAGTAAGTATTCTATTTTGTCACTCTAGTCAAGCACTGTGGAACCATAACCCTTTTTTTCGAGACTTAGTCATTACGCTAAGTAAACTTGGTGATCTTCATGGTACTCTGGGACTTGTACCGTTTCGAAGGTCTTCGCGGCCCTTCCTTGAAGGATTATAAGTTGGTGTTGCAGCGAAAACTCCCAGCGTATCCGCCGAGCGGGTGCTGGGGAGAAAAATAGAGGGAGGGGTATTCAAAGATTAAAAACGTTGAGGCGATAAAACGAAAATTTTAAAAGGTTTCTCTGAGTATTCTGGAATTCCTTTCATTTCCGAGTCAGCAAAACTGCCAATTTCACCAGGAGCGATCCCCTCGTTCACCTTTGCTCAAGGAACGCTCGGTTGACCCTGCTTTTGTTCTCTATAGCTCATTTTAAAAGCACACTCCAGAATCGAACTACTGTGTGCTCGAGTTGGAAGTGGAAGTGCAAAATGGACTGAAAGTGAATAGAGCGAAAAAGAAGCTGAAGATCAAGTGGAGGGAAGAGCGAGGGTCTCTCCTCAATTTTAGCAGTATCTCCCTTAAATGAGGAAATCATCTGGGTCTTCGGTCCAAAGTTTCCGAGTTATGTCCGCGGATGTCAGCATCATCCCCGCTCACTCAAGGAGAGGATTAACTCACGCCACCCGATTTGTGACACGACGAAGCGCTCATATGCGCGAACACCATTCAGTTGATTGGACGCTGTGAGGCACTACCAAGTGCGCGCGTCACTGACCTTTGCTAGTCCATACAATTGTTGCGGCTTTAGTTGGTTGCAGTCATGAGCCCCGAGCACCTCCCTGACGCGCTTTGAGGCCCAAAGTGGCGCCATCTGCAGTTGGAAACACAGTGGTCCCGCTTGCCGAAGGGTTTGTGCTTTTGAACCTGACGGTAGGTTGTCCCTTTGAGGCTTTCTTCAGCGCCAACATTATGTCACTGATTGTGAGTAATTAAGGATCTTTCACATATAAGTTGCTTATCGGGGTGATATGAAGAACTCACCATATGGTGATATTCCCTGATGCTATCAGTTGCTTTGATATTCGTCATAAAAATGGAGGCGTAGTGGAAAGAACTCCAGTTAGTGGAATGTAAATAGCCGAATAGGCACGCCTCAGAAACAGCAACACAACCCAGAAGCACAAGTAGATACAACGGCACGATACGCTTCAAGCGGCGGTAGTAAAAATTGGCTATTTCCCGTCCTCTGAATCGCTTCTCTCGCTCCGTCACCATGGACATCAGGAAACCAGAGAGAACGAAGAATCTGAAAAAAATCATCTAAAATTCTCAATTCATTTTGTGAGGAGCTTCTTTGATTTACGGATGCGTTCCCCGTTTGGTTAGGCGGAGGCTGGGGGAAGGCAATGATAAGTGTACGCTCACTACGTCCAAGTCTTAGGGTCACAGATCGAGCCCCGCGCAAGCCTTCATCCTTCCAGGGTCGCTCGACTAGTAAAGGACTTGTCTCGAAGACTTCAAATACTAACTTATACATTGGCCGGCCCCCATGTGTCATTTCACAGCCGTTAACCCTGGTCCCATTCGCAGTAGGGGTTTCTATTGCTGTGGAAACGTATTCCAGCTTTCCAAAGATTTATCTTCCTAAATTAACATTGCACTTCGTAAAATGCCCCTCCCCCACCTTCAAATCACAGAATACCATCCCGCTCCCATATGGCTCGGTCAGGCAGACAATTGCAATGCGCGTGAAAGCCTCCATAGTGTGATTGGAACACAATGTTTTGGCTTCGAGTATCTGTTTGGGTTAAAAGCTTAACTATGCAGTAAGAGTAGCAGGGATAATTCGACTGTTTTTTGCTTGGTTATCATTATTTCGTTGTTTAGGTGTGTAGGTTCTGTTAAGGGACTTCCTCCATATTTCTGTCATGAGCATAACGAAACTCACTGATCAACGCCGATGTGACCATTTGGGAAATATTTTGGGAAAAAATGGAACAGCATAACTGCGCTGATGGCTATTCCTCGAATCCCTTGAAGATCACGTCGATTTTTTGTAGTTTTACTGGAAAAGAATTAATAGGAGAGAAAACTTTTGGAATAGATTTCAATTACCTGTAATCATGTTTAAGGGTAAGTAAAG